TTCATGCACACGCACGCGCGTGCGCGCACACACATATGTAACTTGGCTAGTTAAATGAAATAGAAAATTCTACAAATATATTGTCTAGCAGTTATCTACCTTGACGTAATTATATGAAATAGAAAATCTCATAATAACTCAAGGTTATAATAGGAAAGAATTTTTTTTGTAGGGTTTTAAACCAGACACAAGATTAGGTGGGAAGTAATGAACCAAAACACGTGATAAAAAATAATTCATATATTACTAATTCAAACATTACTAGTCTTTGCATTACTAATCTATGTGTTACTGTTCCTTGCGCTATCAATCTTTGTACCAATCGACCACTTAGACTAGGGGTGTGCATTCGGTTTTTCGGTTTGGGTTTTTCGGTTTTGAAGAAGTGTAACCCAATCCGAATCAAAATAAATTTGGTTTGGTTTGGATTTTTTCGGTTCGGTTAATCGGTTATGTCAATAGTTAGAAACATAACATAGTTATATTTATAATATTGAATTTCTTAAATATACTTTTAAATATAAATCACAAGTAAAACATAAAACACAATACTTAAAAGTATATCAATTATAGATGTCCAAACATAAAAAAAATAAACTAAAATGAAAATAACTAAAAAGGGACAAAAGTGGTTAACTCCAACTTAATTCTAAACATATATATATATATATATATATATATATATATATATAATATAATTTGGTTTTTTCGATTTTTCGGTTTTCATTTTTCTAAATCCGAAACCAAACCAAAAAACCAAACAAAGTAAATTATAAATCCAAAACCAAACCAAAAATCCAAAAAACCAATCTAAATTAGGATTCGGTTTGATTTGATTTGATTTCGATGTAATCCAAATATTGCACACCTCTACCTTAGACTAATGGTAAAAAAAATTACCCCTCATGTATAATATTGATAATTACGGATATAATTTGATAAGTTGGGCCAAAATAGGTAAATTAGATGAACAAAGGAATATGAATCTAATTTTTTTGTTCCAATTTTGCTCAATTTTGGACCGTATTGGACCGAATTATACTTCAGAGCTACTTTTTTGATAAATTATAGCTCATCAGATCCCTATAGCTAATATATATTTTAGGGATAAGACACAAGTATTTCCTAAAATTATGATCGAAATTTCATTTCAGAGACACCTAAATTTAATTAGGATCCTATTACTCTCTAAACTCATTTTTTTCGTATTTTTGTGTACCTTTTATACTGACGTGGCACCTTCAACCACCCAAGTTAGTTGTGTTTGTACACACACTCGCCTGTTACGTGTATAATTTTTTTTAATTTTATGTTTTTAATTTAAAAAGATAATTAATTTTTTTTAAAAATAATATTTTTATTTTCTTTATCTTGTATTAAATTAAGTTAATACACAATTTTTAACCATGTGTTGAAACTTTTTTTTTTTACCTTCATTCATTGTTTTTTCTCTTTTATTTTCGATTGATTTTATTTTCTTTGTCTTTCGTTTTGATTTGATTTCAAATTTAATTTCAAATGTCTTGTATTTAAAATAAGTTAATTTTGAAAAGAATCCCTATATTTTATTTAGGAAAAGAATGCTTGTAGCCCAAAAATGAAACTATTTATGAGCGCCTACCCCTTATTTAGTACTTCTATTTTTAACTATCATTACGTGTTTACATACATCAAAGTATAAATATACTATGATGATATCAAAGAGGACGAAATAGTGCTTCAGTGAAAACACTACTCAATTATTCTTTGATACTATTAGAATATAAAAACTTTTATGACATCAAGGACGAGCAAACATTATTTCAGTGAAAAGACTGTTCAATTACTTCTTGATACCATTAGAGCATATAGATACCATCAGTGTATATATATTTTGATGATATCAAGAATGAAGAAGCGGTGACTTAATGAATAGAACAAGGGGCAGTCGGATAAATAATTTGAGTCGTGAGTTCAACCAGGATAAACATATTGGGCTAAGTTCAATTTAAATAAATATTTGGCTAATGAGTCTAATTTGTATAGTTTTCCCTATGTTGAGTTCTCTTTTTTCTCTCCCAATTTTCTCACGACACAATTTCATTTTCCGTAGTTACGAATTTACGATCTTTACTATAACAATAATGTCCGACTGTTGCCTTCAAGAATTATCTCCAAAACATGTATAATATGTGTATAATAATTGTATACCGTAATGATAAATTATTTTTACAATAATGATACTGTTTTGATATATATGATAGTACTTATTTCTGTACAAATACAGTAATGATACATATATTATACAATGATGATATAATTTTTGTACACATGCGCTTTCATGCAATAGTGAGTATATATATATATATATATATATATATAACTTGCGGATATCTCATACATTTGGGGGCTAATTACATTCTATTTCAAAAGTTTTTTCAATTATAAAAATTCCGATTTTTTCATTGCTATCGGAAACATTTCTTGGTTGTCTAATACATTGCAAATGATACATTACTTAATGGGAGGGGTGTATCCGAGAAGGGATAAGGATGTATCCAAGGGGGATAACGATGTATCCAAGAGGATAGGGATGTACTTGAGAAGGGATGAAGATGTATCCGGGAGAGGATTTTATATTTTTTTAAATGGTAAATTTTTTTAGAGATTATGATATCTTAAATTGTGTATTTATATAGTTTTTTTGTACCACAGTGATACATTTCTTATAGACTTACTGATATGGAAAGCTTCATTAGTTGAAATCTATGAAAGAACTTAATCCTGAGTAGTGAATCTTTGTTTTGGATTGAAGACTAAGGTTTGATTCTATTTATGTGTTGATTAAAATTGGATCAAGACTCCTGTTTGTGCTTAAATTTATAGTTGATATTATTATTCTTATCAATCTTTAAACTATTTATATCGAAAAATGTATGTTCAATGTAAGGAGATTGTTTATACTATGTGGGAGGATTATATGAAAGAGTAGTACACTACAATAATTTTGTGATAGTTATTATACTTTGTTATGAACTTTTGTTTATTTGGTAAGATTATATAAAGATTGGGGCAATACTATATATACTTTCAAACAATTATATATTGAGATAAGTTTAGAGACCTGCCCACAGGTTTGGCTTCATAACACTCACCTTCCTTGTGATTTACAATATTACACTTGCCTCCCTTATTTTGAGTTTTTGGTAACAATTCATTTAACTTATTAAATATTAATGTAAAAAAATTATGATATCACTAATTTTCCTTTTTTAATATATCCTATTTTGTAAAAAAGCTTAATTGTTATAAAATAAATGTAATATCGTAAACCAGAAGGGAGGTTAATGTTATTGAGTCAAACCTGAGGGGTGGTCTCTGAAATTATCCCTTATATATTTTACCATTAATTAAGAGTTTTCTACTATATATTTAGATACACATATCCCTAAATAATTGCCTATAAATTAATTATTTATATAATTAAACCAACCTAATTTAAGGCTTTCATGTCAATCAATTCTCTCTCATCAATCTCCCACCCATGTCCTCCACCACCATTCTCCGTCTTCCTCCCTTCTCTCCATCATTAACTAAATTTAAATACACCTTCAATTTGCCACATGACATAACTAGTGGGCTCAAATAGGTATATATAAAAATTTATTTTAGAGTTGAATTTTAAACTCATTTAATCAATTTTATTAGGTATTGATTTTATCCTTAATAAGATAATTTAAAATCATTTAATTAACATCATTTAAAAATAATATGCACAGCACAAATTTAACATAATTGATGCTAGTTCTGTAATTTTTTCTTTATATAGTTTGATAAATTGATGGATACAATTCTTACATTTGTTTTGAACCACAAACATTGGGTCAACTTTTTGTGAAAAAAGAGTCTCAAACTCATATAATAATAATAATAATAATATATATATTTTTTTATTAAGTTCAACGGGCTCAAATCATTAAATTAAGAAACATCTCCATTATGTCAAAAACTAAAACAAAAGAAAAGGTTTCGTTGATCCTACTACCCCGATCTATTTTTAATTGTCATGATTTCTTTTTTAGCGTCAAACTATAAGAACTCTTACTAACATTTTATGATGTATTTTTTCATCTTATTGATATACAAAAATTACAATTATAGTACCTTTTGTATAGTTTTGAATATATATATTTTTTAATTTAAAATATCATATTAATGTAATCTAATTTAACTTTAAAAATTAATCAAAGTACTGTCAATCGTCGTTTGGCTTTCAGAGAGTTGGAAACTGGGGTCTGAACCACGGACCTGGACCACGGACCGTGGTCCCACCTACGGTCCTTAGATCCTGCAGTTGGTCAAGACTTTTCTGGGAGTTCTGGGGGGAAGTTGAGGTGACCAACCACGGACCCCACCTACTGTCCGTGGTTCAACCTACGGTTGTGGCACCTGCAACTTCTGAAAATTTGAAATTTTGTCCTTTCTCGAATTCGGGGTGTTACAGTTTCCTTTTTAGCGTCAAACTATAAGAACTTTTACTAACATTTTATGATGTATTTTTTCAGATATACAAAAATTACAATTACAATACTTTTTATATAGTTTTTGAATATCTATTTTTTTTTTTAAAATATCATATTAATGTAATCTAATTTAACTTTGAAATTTAATCAAATTGACTTTCGAAAAACGCAGTATGACAAATAAAAGTGGAGGGAATGAGTAGTAATCAATGAAAATGGGATTAGCCTAAAAACCAAAGCCAAAGCCAAAGCCAAATTAGTTTTTTTTTATGTATATAGGAAAACGATAATTTAAAAAGAAAAGAAGAGTACTTAGGAAAACCACACAAGAGATGACACATATTGAAGATATCCTTTTCTTTACTTAGAGGCTTCAAGAAGGCCAAGTTATAACCATTAAGCTATCCTAACCAACCACTCACTCCTTTTTCCCCTTATTTTCTTCTCCTTATTATTAATAGCTATACTTTGAAAACATCATCCAAAAAGACCCTTTCAAAGTAAAAAAAAGTTGAGAATAAATAATGTGGCAGAATCATAGCCAAAATTCTTCCTTTAGAGAATCCATCAAAGCCCTTGAAGCTGATGTTCAACATGCCAATACTATGTAATAAACTTTCTTTTCTTATTTCTCATCAATTTTTCTTAAGTTAGTTGCACATCATTCTACTTGTTGGGTAGTTTCTTTCGTCTATAACTTAAATTTTGTCATTTTTGATGTAGAAATTTGTGCAAATTTACTTACTAGTAAAGTAGCTCAAGCCTGAATTGTTTCCTTTTCACAACAATTTGTCATTTTTCATTTGCTTGATGTTTAAATTTGGACTTAGGTATTGTTTAAATTTAACTGGCTCAGAGTTATGGCCACAATTGTCATAATTTTGAAATGTTAGGTAATTATATGTGTACTCTCTCCAATAGTTTAAACTTTTAGATGAGATGCTTACATCTATTAGGATGGTATCGTAGTAGACAAAGGTCCTAATTGTACCAATGTGGGTTGTAGTGCAATGGTGGGATTGCTCCAATTTAACTAGAGGTCTCGGTTTCGATCCCTGAGTATGGAAAAAATCTTGTTGGGAGCGCTACCCCTGCCCTGCGGATTTAGTTGAAGCTCCTATGCGGACACCGGGTGGGAAACAAAAAAAAAAAGGTCCTAACTGGAAGTTTTGCCACAGCTAAAGAAAATGAGCAAGAAAATATTTTCACGTGTTTGGCCTATGAAAGAAAAAGTTGGGCCAACACGCGAGGAGAGGCGTGTTGAGATACTATATGATTAAATAATCAAAAGTATGGTCTCTCTAATAGTTTTAAGGTTTTAGAATAGATGGTACACACTTGCTGTGAAGAATTTGCTTTTGAGGTAGTTCAATTTCCTTTCTATAAGTGCTTATTTTGTTCCGTCTTTTTTATAGTTAGATGAACAACAATGGTTTGATTTGAAGAATAGCTAGTTTACAACTGTTTTGTTCATGAGATGTGTTTTGCAGGGCAGCGGCTCTTCCCCGGGATCTCGATGGGGATTGTGTTCAGATGAAAGTTTCCTATGGTTTTCTCGCCCCCTTCTTGCTGTTTCTGATAGAATGGATGGACTATAGTTGTTTAGATACTCTAGCTAGTTGCTTAGGACTCCTTCACATTCTTGTTTACAAGGTGAGCTTTCACTTAAACTTCACTTTTTTTATGCAAATTAAAGGCATTACCTCTAGTTGAGTTCTTGGTTGTCTATGTCCATTTGTTTCACACTTTCACAAAGTGGTGTTTTAGAATCTAAACTAGTCATCTTTGTAGGTTTATGTTGATGGAATGCCAACAATGCCCCCACAAGAAAGGAAGGCCACAATTAGAGAATTCTACGGTTTGTATTCTTTCCTCGTTTGTTCTTCTTTTCGTTTAGCCTACAACAATGGGAGGGAGACAGAAAAGCAAAAGAAATTGAATTTGATAGTTGGAATTTGGTTAATCAATTTGATGAGACTATTCCCTCGGTCCCAAGTTAAGCGGAACTCTTTCTTTTTCAGTCTGTCCTGAAAAGAATGACAATTTTTTTATATTTAGTAATAATTTAACTTTAAACGTCTTATTCTACCCTTAATGAGATGATTTACAGCCACACAAATATTTATGGCTTGTTTTAGACAATAAGTTTCAAAAGTTTTTCTTTCATTCTTAAACTTCTTCGTGCTCACTCGAACGCCATCACATAACTTGTGACGGAGGGAGTACTACTTTTCTCCTTTTTCCGTTGTAACTAATGATTATAAAATGATATCGAAGGGTGTGCCAGGATTTCATCAATGCTGAATAGTTGTTGTAAAATGTTGCAGCCATTATATATCCTTCACTAAAGCAGCTGGAGGGGAATTTAGTGGAATTAATGAAGGAGAATACTAAAGTAACTCAACTCTTGAACACTTCAAATGGAAGAGTGGAAGAGAAAAGACAGTCATGTAAAAGTATTCCGGGAGAAGAAGAAGAATGTGGTATATGCATGGAGACTGGCTCCAAGATAGTTTTGCCTAATTGTAGCCATTCCATGTGTGTTGGCTGTTTCCACGACTGGTACGAAAAGCACCCCGACCCCTTTGCATAAGTACTAGTTTCATAAATGGTTAACAACATTGTCCTGTTATCTGTCAGGTACATCCGGTCTCAATCATGCCCTTTTTGTCGAGGTAGTCTAACGAGAGTAAACTCCAGAGACTTGTGGGTTCTAACTAGTGACTGTGATGTGGTTGATAGCACCACTCTAGAGCAGGAGAATGTAAGGCGGTTCTACCTTTATATTGATAAGTTGCCACTTGCCGTCCCTGACACCAATGTAATGCTTTACGATTACATGATATAGACTTGGAAGTGGAAGCACTATATCATGCATGCATTCTAGCGGACCTACTTCAGCTGAATAAAGGGTCTAACTTGTATTGTACATAGTTAACGAAACTACTAGCTAGCTATCCATACTGCAAACTCAAAGCTACAGAGCCAAGGCGTCTGTGGAATGACTAATCTTCACACATGTCTGCTCGGTGCAGTTATCTGACGAGTTTGAGCTAAATTATTATGTATAGAGTCATGAAAGTAGAAAGTATAGAGATATTCCTGACATTCAACTCAGTTTTTTTTGGAACCTGAGTGTTGAAATGGGAAGACAAAAGACTAAATGTCTTTTGGCAAATTGCTGCTTGTTATGCTTGTACAGTATTTTACCAGTTAAAATAAAGGATGTATGATGGACCATTATATCCCAATGTTCATTGAGGGGAAGAACCAAATTGTTTAGTTGAAGAAACAGAAGGTATGTAGCGGAAAACTCATAGTTTAAACTTCGTTTGTTTAGTCGGAAAGGTAAGCGTAAGGTCTGTATATTCCAGACTCCACTTGTAAGACTATATTATTAGTTTGTTATGTTATTGCTGTATACATGACAGATTTGTTAATGTATTCCTATGTATATGTGATATATAATATAAATGGTCTTTTTTTTCCCAATTTATGTCATAATAATTAAGGTGCACATGTATTCAACTCTAAATCAAAGGTACAATACTTTTTTCAAGAATCAACATAGGTCAGAAATTAAGGTTGTCCTAATGTACTTTAAGGACATAATCAATTATTTGATAGAATATTTTTCCAGCTATGGCTATATACCTATGAAGATATTCATAGCAATATAACCTATATATGAACTATCTATTTGTTTTAGGGGGTGTTCGTGGTGCGGTTTGATTCAAGTTTTGCTTAAAAGAAAATCAAACTATTTAAGTTGATTTCTTTAATATTAAAACCAAACTGGCCCAATATAACATATATTTCTGATTTCGTCGGTTAATATTTTATATTTTACCAAATAATTGAGTAAATCAAACATTACATAAATTTGATGATGATGATGTATATTAAGTTGTGTTTTAATATAATCTCCCTCTTTGCTCAAATAATGTGTGTTGGCGTAGTAAGAAAATTGGAAAATCTAGAGGTGGTGTTTAATTAACTACTGTAGTATATATAGTATAACAAATATGGATTAACAAAGAGATATATTAGTACTAGATTAACTTAAGTATTTCTATTTATACAACACGAATTCAAATAGAATTGAAGAAAAATGAATGTGATAAAACCAATAACCAACATTTATTTGAATTCCAAGTTATAATGGAAATTTTTATTAACGATTTATAACAATCAATATGTATATATATAAAGCTGAATATTAGGCATGCTGATGTGGCGCTCTCTAAGACCAGAAACCTATTTATCTATTTTTTTTTTGTTTTTGAATTTTTATACTCCGTAAATAATTACTATCAAATAATTATTTTCTCCATTTAATTAAACACCTAATGGATAATGGTAACAATCATTACATTAATTCTCCTTTCCCAATTAATAGTCCTTGCCTTCTTCATTGTCACAGCCAATTACGACACGTCAATTGGCCTTCTCCCAAACCCAACCGTTTACCTGCTTAATTAGATAACCTCCTACCTTTCCATCTTCCACTAACAATAATTACTGTATTTAATAGTAATATTAAATTATCCATTTTTTTACTAAGAGTAGTATTTAATTGTTTGTATACATTTTGGAAATCAGAAATCAGAAATCTGCAAAGTCTGTTAAATTAGGTCTTAGGCCTAACTCACACCCCAAAAGCTAGCTCAAAGGGAGGAGGATTGCCCAAGCCTTATAAGGAGTCCACCCATCTCATTAACCACCGATGTGGGACTTTTGTCATTCTTTAACACCCCACCTCACGCCCAGTGCTTAGCATTTGGTGCGTGGGCAATTTTTGATTTTGGGGGCCCCAACATCGGGTGAGACGGGCCCTGCTCTGATACCATGTTAAATTAGGTCTTAGGCCTAACTCACACCCCAAAAGCTAGCTCAAAGGGAGGAGGATTGCCCAAGCCTTATAAGGAGTCCACCCATCTCATTAACCATCGATGTGGGACTTTTGTCATTCTTTAACAATGTCTCTATTCAGAATTGAAATTCACAAAAATATTCTATAGATGGCTAAGAAAATTAAAATTTTCATTGTGCGATCCAATTTCCAATTGTCTTTTTTGGATCTCTGAAAATAAAGAATATTTCATCTAAATAAGTTGTGAGCAGAGTGGATCAGACAACAATTTTTTCAGAGTATTTCATCTTTTTGAATCTCTGAAAATTAAGATCATAACGAATTAATAGAAGAAGGGTCAAGAGGTGACGTGAAAAGTGGTTGATAGTTTGCTAAAACAATCTCGCATAAAAGCTCTTCTTATTTTAAATTATTTATTCTTCCTCTAAAACAAATTCTTTTTTGTTAGTTTTTGTTTCAATTGAAGTAATTTCATGACAATTTTTTAAGTAGATAATTGAAGTAGATTAGTATACGTAGAATTTTATCATTGATATATTACATGCCTAAATGTTTAGTCTTTATTCTCATGTTCAAAGCTAACAAATAAAAATTTATAGTTGTAGGTCTTATGCTTAATAGCATATTAGTTTTATCTTTGTTTATTTATATTATATAAGATTTTGTTTCTTGGTACAATTATTATTGCAAACTATATATATATATATATATATATATATATATATTTTTTTTGTGTGTCTTGTATATATATTGTATCTTATATAAAGTGCAAACAAAGACATGATGTGACACCTCTCTGTGACATAGAAAATAATTTATCTTAAATCTCTTCTTTTTTTTTTAGATTTTTCCTTCATTTTTTTTCATTATACAATTTGATGTATACTTAAAATTAGTTCTATCACATCAATTACATTTAATTATATCTCAGTTACAAAAACTCTCCAATTACTTGCATTTTCTATTTGAATAACATGTCCTTTTCTTTTTTATTTTTCAATACATAGTGTCCTAATTAATTGGCATTAAAAAAAGCCTCACAAAATAAATGTTGAACTAAAGTGCACGTATAGTCTTCGTTGACATATGTATTTTTTTCTTCTTTCTTTTTTCCTCAATAAATCAAAGAGCCTTTTTTTATTATACTGTTCATTAGATACAAAAATTTCTGAAGTTGGCGTGGTGAAGAAATCTATATACATTTCATTTTTTATCTTTAACTTTGTAATTAATGAATTTATTAGCTATGATTTGTTTTTTTGCCCCATTTTTCAGATTTAATATGTTTCCTGTACGTGCAATTAGTTTTAACATGTCCTTTGTATGTGTAAATTAGTTTTAATGTGTTAAATTTGTGCTTGATACTACACTTTTTTATCTGTGCAAAATTGGAGAATTTGAAACTTATAGTCCCTTCTTATTAGACAATTGTTGTAAATTATTCGTTTGGTATAATAATAAGGTAGAATATCTAGGATCAAAGGTTGAAACTAAATTTATAATTTATTTAGTTGAGGTATAAATTTAGGTTTGACTATAATTTCAAAATAACTTTGTCCACAAACCAAACGATTCTTTAGGGAATATGATGAGAGCAGGATATAAAAATTCAATTCCTTCTTTAAATGACCTTTCACAATACAAATTACCTCACGCGTGAACGAATATCTATGAATTTATGAACGGATATCTTTCGAAGTATCAAATGATTTATAAAAAAAAAACTACAAACGCAAACTATTATTGTGATCACTAAATCTACATTTTTTTTTCCGATAACATAACTTCGATTTGATTGTTATATCAATTTTTGGCTTTCATTTTTTTATTATATAGATTTCTATGAACATATTAGATTTTTATGATTTTATTTAAAAAATGACAAGTAATTCTTTTCTTCGATTTCTAACCTTCCTCCAATTGCTACTTTTAATTTTAAGATTGTCTTTTCTTGGACTAAAATTCTATAATTCTTTTGAGACTAAATGTGTTTCTTTTATGAATAATACAAATTACAGATAAATATATTAAATTAATAATAGTTATAATTAAATTATTTGTGAACAAAATATACGTAGCAAGGAAAGCCTATAAGACTAATGTTACATATTCATTTTTCCTATTATATGAAGGTATTCTTTTTCGTATGAAAGGATTTTTTTCTCGATAACTATGTGACATTTCTATTCTTTTTTTTATTTGCATCTTTTTCTTATACGTTTGATCAGTTGATTTTTATATTTAACATAGATATATCTTAAATTTTATATTATCAATTAATTAAAAAAATCGTGCGTAGCGCGGACAATTTCACTAGTTACAAGTATTCTTTAATGGACTAGGGACAAACGATCTCCTATTTATTTATTTTCTTTCGATTTGAAAGATGATGTTGGACTTGGATTTTGTAGCAAAATAAAATAAAATAATGGAAATAAGACATGAAAAATTCAACATTGTGAAGAAACTACCGATTTTTTTCCAAATCAAATATTAAATTTTGCATTTTGAAAAACATGAGAAAAATGAGCTCACTAGTACTGAAAATGGAGAAAACAAGTTGCGACTCTATAACACATGTTCAATTCTAATTGGGACTCTACAAGATATGTTCAATTTCAATTGGGATTTTTGGAGGCTACTTAACCCTAAACCCTAGTTCATGTCTAATTGCCTATGTAAAGGGTACTAAATTCCGTTAAAAGGCATCTCGAAAATTCCACAAAAGTCATGGAATATTCATATAGAGGTCAAATCTGAATCATCTTAGTTCGAGAAATACGCCACTAATGACCCTCGAATCATGGATAAATCTTAGGAGAGTAGAATCAAGGAAGGAACAACTTTGTACCCGCCCTATTATCAATAAAATATTTATGTTTCTTCAGATTTTATCTGTGTGGTTGATTTATTTTCCATATGTTTAAACTTTGTTGCAAACAAATTGGCACGCCCAGTGGGACCAAATCTATCCTTCATCTGTTCTCTCTTAAATCAAATCTGAAAAATCTAAAGTTGCGAAGGTGGAAGAATGAGTACTTCAAGTCTCGTCTTTGAGTTTCATCAAGTCTACACTTCGACAAGCCTTGAAACAGGGGGGCATTTGTAGACATTGAAAATTTGTTAGACTCTACAAGATGTGT